GTAGTGTAACCTGATTTTCTTTTTTTCGGTTGCAAGATATACATAACCCAAATGGTGACATGGCAGTCTCATCTCCCAACTGAATGAAACCGTTGTTGTGCCCCCTGGTGAAAGCATTCCTCATTGTAGAGAAGAGGACCTCCAGACCAGCACAGCTCGGAGTCACAAGCACTGGAAAGAAAACTCTTGCTAGTGGGTTACTGGTAACAATAGCGAGATGACCCGCACCCAGGGCCACTTCCTCGATGCCTGGACTCATGCATTCTGGTCACTGGGGGAGAAAATGCCATGCAGTAGTCCCTGCTGTGAAGCACACACTGCATCTTGTAAGACAGAATCTCATCTTTTCACAGAGTGGTTTTCCCAGCTGGTGCTATGACTTAATCAATGAGCCATTCTACATTTAAACAGGCTGGACACTTCTGGGTGATAGGGTGTGTGGTAAGAAAAATAATTCCATGGGCATGTGCCCAGTGCTGTAATCTTTACCTGTGAAAAGAGTTTCTTCCTTAGAAGAAATGCTGTGGGGAATATTTTGGTGAGGGTAGGCATTCTGTGAGCTTATAAGGATGATGCTGGCAGAGCATAATAAGCAAGGAGGACAAATCCATGTACAACTGTATGTGTCTAGCCCACTGAGAGCCAGTTTAAGCCATCTCCATTGTGAACGATGCCAGATGCAATTGACCTGTCTGTCACCAGGTGTCTGGGGGGGGTCTCTCTGGGTTAAGATACCATATCAGGGGCTCGGGATTAATCTCTGGTTGACAGACTAGGCACTGAGCTGTGGCATAGCGAGGTCAAACTCGGTAAGGGGAAATCAGTGCTTTTGAGCTCATGCACAACTTCCATTCCTGCTGACAAGGCCTCTTTGTTCATGGGATCATTGACAAGTGTCGGGGCAGCTGGGGGAAGATGCTGACACATCCACAGAGGGCATCATTCTGTCCATTATTAGGAGCTTCCACTATAGCCATTTTCTCTTGGTCAGCTTTCACACTGAACATACATATCGTGATGGTCTGCGCCCACTCTGAGAGGCCCATCCAGAAACGTCGTCCCTAGATTTCCTTGTCACTAGTCTTCTAATCCTGTCCCTTCCATGGCTCTTAACAGCCAGCGGAATCACCGGCAGCAGCCCTTGACTCACTGTGGAACAGTACTTCTGGCGTCTCTCAGTCCAGGTAACATGGAAAACCAAACTGTGCCCCCTGAGGATTTGGAGGGACTTTCCTCCACCTTCATCCTTCAGTGGGGTGATAGCACTAGGTTTGTGTGTGGTACCAATATAACGTGCAAATCCATGTGAAAAATAGGCTGGGCTTTTTTATTCCTTGGTTAACTGATCATAAGGAACTCCCCAGGAGACCATGGGCATGGTTAAGGGAGAAGGTTGGTGTTAAGGAATCTGAGGTACTTGCTGGCACAGCTCTCCTGGGCCTTCTGGGCCTGCCCGAGCCCAGTCTCTTACATCCTGTTTCCACCTGATGATTGATTGTTGCTGGGCACGACCGACATCGCAGGTGTGTAGACAACACTTGGTTCGTGATGGAAGTTCCGGCTGCATGGTCCCCTGTTTTTTCCTAAGTTAGCCGTTAAGCCTTTACCAGGGTCAATTAACAAGTCAGAAGCTATTTCTCAAAAGGAGAATAGTTATTTAAAGAAAATGGCATGTATTCCTCCAAATAAGAGAGGACTATGCTGGGTTTTCCTAGTGGCCTTTCCCAAAGTCTCCATCCTATTTGCCATGGAAACTTAAGTATCATTGTTGGATTTGCTGGATCACAGAGCAGAGTGGCAAAGCAGACTGCACTGAAGCGTTCCTTCCTCTGCACTTTTAAAGAATAGTCTGAGAAGGATCAGTGTTAACTCTTCCCTAGCTGCTTGGTAGACTGAGTCAATTGCTCTTGACTCTAGTTCTCTGACCCTGTTAGAGATTCTGAGGCTGACCCAATATTAATTAACGTATTCCTTTTTTTCTTAATTCAGCCAGAGTCAATTTTTGTTGCTCACCAATAAGACCCTTGACTTATACACAGTGTCATTCCAGCATTAGGCAAATCAGAGGGGAGAAAATGCGGCTCATAGATAACAGTGTCAGAAGTGACTGTAAGAAACCTGAAAATGCTTCTCAGAGGTATTCTGTAAATACTGGGCTTCGGCGTTCTTACTTGAGTTTTTACCTGAATTAAGCTGTATCTGTTCTTACTCTAGTCTGGAATTGGAGTTCAATAAGGCAGAGAATAAAATAGCTTTGTGATGTCTTCCGAGTCAGCTCTGAACACCCTGCCTTTCCACAGCGGATTCGATTAGGCAGCTGATGTTCCCACCACTAGGTGGCAGTGCCTCTCGCTTCTCAGACTCGGTTTGAAATCAACCTGCGTGTAATGAAAGCAAAGGCTTGAGCTTCCTCTGATTGGCTAGGTAGGACACCTGAGACTCTGGGATCCACAAGGGCTGGACAGATACCCCCGGAAAGAAGAGCTAGACTGAGGAAGCTGGCTTCATTTTAGGCCCCAGAGCCGAGTCTTCTGTGATGCTGATAAGGAAGAAGAATGGAGAAATTCCTGACAGTGTCTCTGGTGATGCTGTGGCTTCAGCCGGCCAGTGAGTTGGGGCTCTTGGTGATGGGGAGAAGGTGACCAAAGTTCAGAGCCCACGAGACTGAGGGACAAAAATCTTCTTGTCAAGTGAGAAATGTACCCCCGAGTTATGGAAGGAAATGCAAACACTAGAGAGTGAAAAATACAGTGACTGACTCCTGGTCTCTGCTCTGAGCTTCTGCCCAGGGGTGAGCAGCCAGCAAGGAGACCAGAACCTTCCGGCCCTGATCGTCCAGGAGGGTGAAAATGCCATCCTGCACTGTAGCTGCAGCACTGCTATATCCAGCTCACACTGGTACAGGCAGGATCCAAGGAGAGGCTTTACACATCTGATTTCGATACGTTCAAACGAGAAAGAGAAACCGAGTGGAAGACTACGAGCCACGCTCCGCACCTCCGTCAGAAGCAGCTCCCTGCTCATCACAGCGTCCCAGGCTGCGGACGCTGCCACTTGCCTCTGTGCCACGGGTGCGCAGGGCTCAGTAGGCGTCTGCAGCCCCAGCACAACCCTGTCTCTCAGAAGCCCCGGCAGTGTGTAGAGTTGGTGGCTATGTCTCCCCACAGAGGAGAGTCTGCCGGCAGCTGGCAACACGAAAGGGAGGCTGTCTCAAATAACGGACGATTTTGGCAGCACCTTAGGCTGGGCTGGACTGGGGTAAAGGGCGTGAGATTTAGAGCAGGAGACTGAAGGGCCAGGTTCGGCTCTGCCATCCTGCCTGTGTGACCTTAGGCACATCGTCAGGGCAGTAGCCTCGGTGTCCTCACTTTGAAGGGATGATTTGCCTGATGAGCTGCAAACCATTCAAACTCTGACGTCACCAGGTCACTCATGGAGGATGAGGAAGGACTTCTATTCGAGGGTCCCCTCTGTGGTTTGTGCAGCTCCCTCAAGACCTGGGTGGGGCTTTGAGGGCCTGACATTTGCATTTCTCTGTCTTGTATAAGAAGCATCAGTTTCACCCTGCGTTAGAATTAAAAACGCTCTTACTCTTTCAACTGAATGTTTCATTTTAGGTCAGAGGAGTGGAAACACTGTGTGATAACAGACAAAAGACCTGAATCTGACTCTGCCCTTGACTAGCTGCGTGATTTCCAAGCCTCAGGTTCTGTGTTAATGAAACAGGAATTTATCGCAAAGTCTTGAGTTTTCCCTCATGTAAGTGAGAATTGTATGTGCTCTACTCGCAAATCCTGAAATGTTTTCTTCAAAGTGGGTACTTCTAGTATCAAAAGCATAAGAGTTTCCCATCCATTTATTCTTGCTCCTGGTAAGAATAGTTTTTGTGATACTGTTTCGATGCTACTGAAAATGTATTTGTGGAGACAGCTAGGGCATTTGTACTTATGCGATGCTTGGTGAAAAAGATGGGGGAGGGAAAGGAGAGGGTGGAAAGAACTGTAGTTCCCAAATACCAGACCTTAAACCACCACCATCACCTGTATCAGAATCACCTGGAGCACCTTGAAGCTCTGGGTTATTAGAATCTATTCCAGCTTATCAGTCAGACTCTGATGCAATGATGGACTGTATTTTTAATAAACATCTGTATCACTTAGAGATTGGTTTGATTTCATGTTACAAAAACCTCAAATAATGTTTTCAACAAGGTGGAGTTTACTTTCCTTTCACATATAGAAGCTCTATCGTATGTGTTATATGAAGTCCAGGGTTGGTATGATGGCCTCATCATGTTATGAGGAATCAAGTGTCTTATTAGCTCACTGTCTCTTGTCCTTAAAGTGTCACTTTTGGTCTTGCCCTTTGCAGATCCTTCCACTTTATACACCTTCCAGGAAGTAAGAAAGAGAAAGTTAAGGGGCATATGGTTACGAGGGAGTGGCTGAGTCAATCATTTCCAGAAACTCCATCCAACCACTTCTTCTTTTTTTAAACACCTGTATTGTGGTGTGGTTCCTGTACAGTAAACTACACATATTGGAGATGTACAATTTGGTGAATTTTGATAGATGTATACACCTATGAACTCACCACCACAGTCAAGATAGCTAACATTTCCATCACTCCCTAACAAGTGCAAATTTTGAATTCCCAATTTAGCCCTTCCACTCCCTTTACTCCCTGGTAACCACAAGTTTGTTCTCTGTGTTAGTGAGTCTGTTTCTGTTTTGTAAATAAAGCTCATTTGTATCATTTTTAGATTTCACATGAAAGTGATAGCATATGATATTTGTCTTTCTCTGTCTGACTTATTTCACTTAGTATGATAATCTCTAGGTCCATCCATGTTGTTGCAAATGGCATTATTTCATTCTTTTTTACAGCTGAGTAATATTCCATAATATACCACTTCTTCTTTATCCAGTCATCTGTCAATGGATGTTGCTTTACGTCTTGGCCATTGTAAATAGTGCTGCTATGAACATTGGGGTGCATGTATCTTTTTTAAATTAGAGTTTTCTCTGGATATATGCCCAGCAGTGGGATGGTTGGATCATACAGTAATTCTATTCATAGATACTCATTTTTGAAACACTATATCCACTCTACCTTCCAGTCCTGTTGAGTTTGCCTCCTAGAAGTCTTATGAAAGATGTCACAACCCCCACAACCCAGTTCTCCTCCTCAATCCTAATTAAAACTCCATCCTAATTCCTTGCTCCCCAGAACACTTGACACTCCCCATCACTCTGTAGTGTTGTCCTTTGTACTGTAGCGAGAGTAATCTTGTCAGAGTGCAAATTTGACCATGTTAATTACCTGCATGCCCATTTGCTCTTAGAAGAAAGGAAAACTTCATCATGTGGCTACAAACCTTGTATAATTTAAGGTCTTGCTACCTCTCCAACCTCTTTTCATAAGGTTCTCCTAATCTCTCTCTCTCTTTGTCACTGCCTCTCTCTCTTTTCAATAATGCTGGTATTATTTAAGTTTCTTAAAAACACCTTTTTCTTCCTATATGACCCCTTCAAAGCAATTTTAGGTGATTTTCTACTCTTTTCCTTTTCCTAAAATTCTTCCCCCCCCCCCCGCTTCAAAAGAGGGAAAAACAGTAAATGTCTTATTACTCATTCTTGTGTATCTGCCCAAGACTCAGTAGCTGAACGAAGCTCAGTGGGCATTTTAGAATCACAGACCTCCGCCTTTTCAAATGTTCAGCTTATCTCTTATTTCTTTGATTATTTGATTGACATCTATTTTCACTGCTACTCCGTGGGCTCCTTAATGGCAGGGTCCGTATCTGTTCTCACCACTGAACGCTCAGCATCAAAGTATCTTAGGCATTAGGATCACCCACTTTCCTTCTTCCTTTCTATCTAGTAACATACTCTATTTAAGCCTCCTCAAGAAGCTATGATAATATTTAGTGGAAAAAAAGAAGTCTGTGGAGGTTTATGGATAAATTCTTGGGGCCATAGCAGGGATTGGCAAAGCACAGACCACAGGGCAAAGCCACTTGCCACCTGTGCTTGTAAATAAAGTTTTATTGGAAAACAATCCTGTCCATTTATTTATGCATTGACTGGATGCTTTGTGCTATAACAGCATAGTTGAGTAGTTGAAACGGACACTACATGACTTCAAAACCTGAACTGTTTACTATCGGACCCTCTACAGAACAAAGTTTGCCAACTCCTGGCGTGTAGGAATTACATGAGAATTTTAAGATGCGTAGTTTTTTTGTTTGGTGACAACAAAATAAATGAACAAAGGCATATTTCTCATCATCTGTACGGCCAACTTAGAGTACTGCCCTTGGTTTTGATGCTTTTGTGTTCTCTGTCACTGTTTTCAAATTAAAGACAAAAGGAATAAGAGCACTTTACAAATAAGAGCATCACTGTCATTTAAGTGGATAAAACTGTTCAGAAGATTTGGCTCATGATAAGGCTCATGGTACTACAGGCAGGCCAACTTTCCAAAGCCCTACGCCACCACGGTACTCCCGGGCTTCCATTGGAAGGGATGTGTCATTAACATTCATTGTTCAAATGTATCAACATGTAATTCAGTGGATGTAAGAGTCGCAGTGAATGCATAATATTTGTTTTCAGCACTGACTTTCGGTGCTTTATTAAGTAATACAGTTGTATAAAAAGATATTTTTAATGGAAGTAAAAATACTAGAAATCACTAACCAGACAATTGTAGGTTAAGCTCCAAATCATTTCGATCAACTGAATTATTGGATTACACTCACTGATACACTTCTTCTAATGAGCCCACACCAGTTTCTTTAGTTTCAGAAAAAGATCATGCCTCACATTAATGTTTTAATTTGATTTTTATTGATTTTATGTTTTGCTGGCATTTTTTTGTTTGGTTAGACGATTGAGTAAGACCTGTGAACCTAAGAAATTTGTACTTGACTTCAGTTTTGTATATATTAAGGCTCGTGTGAGAGGGGTCCCTTGTATGACGGTCTCTACCTTACTTAGTTTTGAGAAATACTGAGTTCCCTGTTATTCAGACCCTAGATATGCCCCTTGAAGAAGCTGGCTATATACCAGGGGCTTAAGACATTTGTTTACACAGACGTTACACTTCATAAAAAGATAATGGTCCCCACCATACACACCCACTCTTTCATTGGTTCATTTTCTTCAGATATTTTTGAGCATCCGCTATGAACCAAGATTCTGTGTCTTTTGAGAAGCTGGCTGCTGAGTCTAACAAGATTAGTTCCTGATTTCAGGAGCGCCAAGCCTAGTCTGGAAAACAGCACACAAATGATGCTGATATGCTGTAGAAATGACAGAGAGAGATATGTACACAGAGTATGGTGGGAAAGGAGGGGGGCACCAACTCAGCCTGAAGAACCGGATGAGCAGTTTCACGTGGACGCGGCAAGTACACTGGCTCTTAAAGAATAAACAGACGTTGCCTAGGCAAAGGCAGGGGCAGAGGGAGAACGTTCTGAGCAGAGGGGCTCATGCCCTGGCTCCAGGGAACCAGTGAGGGAATGTGTCAGGAAGAGATCTCAGGTTGCGCTCTTTTTTCACTCGCTCTACACCCTAAGATGCCTGAAATTAGCCTAATACCCGGTGTAAACAGACCTCAGATGCTGGGGCTGGAGAGCTTTAAGGGAACCACGTTGCCTTGCATCTTAGAGCCAGAGGAATGCCCTGCTGTTTCAGCATCAGTCACCACTGTGAAGTTTACAGAAGCTGTTTGGTGCTTCCTTCCTGGAGCTCTACCCATCACAGCAGATACCTACTTCCCTTTTATGAACTCAGCTTAAGCTCCACTCCAGGGTAAGTACCAAGTTCAGAGGTAAAGCAGGCTGCAGGGACAGAGGGGAAACCACAAGAGGGCGCTCTCCCTTCCCTTGGTGCTTTGACACGAAGTCAATTTCCCTGTCTGAGCACAGCTCTCTTTTTCACAGCCTGTGGCATGCTCTTGTAGAGCAGTTTGTCTTACTTAACACATGAGCCAAGATTTTCTAGAAGATTCCACCAAAGGATCAAGAAACTAGTGGAATAGTTCTCCCAGCTTTAGTGAACCTTCCGCTGCTTCACTGCAAGCCATGCTCTCTGCTTCCTGCTCAGGACTTGTGATCTTGTTGATACTGAGTGAGTAGCATTTATTTAAAATTTCTAAGATGTTCTGTTCCTTGGTTTTAGGGTGATGTCTAACACCCAGCAAGCTGGAGACTTCCCCTCTTGCATTGCCAGCATAACCGAGTCTTTTGTGTTGTTGTTGTTGTTAGGAGGGACCAGTGGAGACATAGTCAATATAACACAGTCTTTAATTTTTTTTTTAAAGGAGGGACCAGTGGAGACACGGTGACCCAGACAGAAGACCCTGTTATCCTCCCCGAGGGAGCATTTCTGACTCTGAATTGCACTTACGAGACTAGCTATTCAGACTTCCTTTTCTGGTATGTCCAGTATCTAAACAAAGGGCCTGAGCTCCTCCTGAAAAGCTCATCAGAAAATCAGAAGGTGGTCCGTGGAGGTTTTCAGGCCACTCTTGTCAAGAGTGACAGGACCTTCCACCTGCAGAAACCGTCCGTGCAGATGTCAGACTCGGCCGTGTACTACTGTGCTCTGAACGACACAGTGAGAGGGGCTGCAGGGGGAGCTGAGCACAAACCCGGAGGCGCAGGTGGGGTCTGGCTGTGGGTGGCCCTGGGAGGGGCTGTTATTTCCTCTCTCCAGTGTTCTGTGTGCTGGAGGCAGCCTCAGTGTCCTGCCAGCTGTGACGCTCAGAGCCAGGAACCTTGGAAAGCTCGGATTGCTCTACAGAGAGGAACTGGGGGAAGAACAGTATAAGGAGGAATCTAAGAGCTCTTCTCCAGAAATGCCTGTTTCAGTCCAGCCTGTTTCCCCCAGATGGCACAGAATTCCTGGGAGGTGACAGTGTCAGTGACAGCTGGGTTGGTATGTGCTGAAATATTCCACAACCTGCTAATGAAAGTTCCCAGGGCACATAGCTCACGGACCAATTGTATGACAATGTAACAGTAATAGCAAGAAGCCCCGGGGATCAGGAAGAGAGCAGAGGGATGTTGGACATCACACACACTCAACACATTGAAGTCACTGTTCTATGGAGCTGGAGAGCTGGAGAGGAAGGAGGAGGACAGAGGAAAGGAGAAGGGAGGGGAGAGCAAGGACAAACTCATAAGTAAAATGGTTTTTACTTGAATTTGATGTTTTTTTCTCAAGACATCCCACACTTCCTCTACTTGGCCTGACAGAATCAGCACAGGTAGAGGTGCCCGCTGGCAAGCACGAGGGAGAACTGAACTCTGAGTAGCTGGTTGACACTCCGGAGGGACAGCTCCTCCTGTCAAGCTCTAAGGAAGGCTGAGAGTCAGATGTTCTAGTCACAGGGATGCCCAGCATCCTTGTAAAATGAAGGTAATTCGTGTGGCCCTAGAGAAACCAACAGCATTGTGACTGGGGAGATCCTTTCAATGTGAGAGAGTTCTATCTGGAGCAGGGTTGCAAAAGCAAAGGTCGTGGGTGCCAAGAACAGAGTGAAAATGATTGTGGTTGTCCAAGCTCCTTTTTTTAAAAATTTGCAAACCCTAAGCGATACTGGGTCTCCATTCCAGGGATATAAAGGAAACTGTTGTTATAAAATCAAGCCCTCTCCCAAGGAGAGGGTCGAGAAAGCTTAACAAAGACTGCAGCTTATTCCCTGAGCCCCATCTGAGGCAGGCTGCAAGCTCAGCAGACATAGACAGGCAGGTACACAGAAGCTGTGGTAAAGGGAGCTTCTGGGGAGGGGGCTGGGGACACGAACTTGTCGCCACCAGCAGGACAGGTGAGGGCTATTCCAGCCCCTGAGAGTAAGGCAATGGACCGGGCCCACCAGCTCCAGCCCTGCTACTTCTTCACAACTCTTCCTCTTTAGGGGCTCCCCCAAATTAGTGAGCCTCATACTCCACGACTGACAGTCTTGGTCTTGCGCATGGTATCTCTGCTGCAAAGTTCTTCCAAAGTATTGCCGGGTAGAGTTTGATTTAAACTACAGCAAAGTTCTAAAAACTTTAAAAGAGAGATACATAGATAAAAAGCTACGGCTCACTCCAGGTTCCTGAGTCACTTAGGTTACACAACTTCTAATATGGATGCCAACAACTGTGTTTTTTTAAAAGAAGGAATGTATCTTAAAGAAGGAATGAAAGTAAACATTAGGTACGAACCTCCCCCCATCCTGCTTCGCTTCACTACATGTATCAGTTGCCTTTTCTCTGTCCTCAGTGCTTCCTGTTCACCACCTACATCCTCTGCTGTGTTTGCCCTCATTCCCACCTTCTTCCAGACACTGTGATTCATATTCAGCAGTCTAGTGCCCTGACATGTCATCTTTAAAAGCCATTCCACTTGATTTCAGTAAAAGAGTCCCTTTTTGATGAAAAGCGAAACTTCCCCACAGAGTCAGATGTCCTTGGAGGTGAAGAGTCAGTGTCAAATCTGTGCTCTCCTCTGAGATGGGGTGGAAGCCCCTCGGTTCACACCATCGTCCTTCTGTGACTCCATCGTCCTCAGCATTTCCAAATGGAGAGACAAGATTAGCTGCACTCAAACTTGCAACTCAATCAAACAACTTCCTGGAGAAGTAGCATCAGTTTTGTCTCTGGTTTACCCCATATAAGAAGGCACTGCTCTGTAGATGCAGCCACCAGTTACAGGAGGTACAAAGGACGGGGAACTCAGCAAACTCATCAGAAATGTGCAATGAGCCAAGTCCATAGTGCGGAAAACTCTACAGGACAAAACTGATCATTTTTCAACTATAAGCGCAAGGAATAAATGGGAGTGAGGGGCCCATAGACATGAAGAGGCTTAAGTAGCTTATCAGTCATTCACCGTATGTGGCCTGTAGGTGGATGTGAATCAAATAAACGAAGATATTGACATTTAAATATGTTGGATAATGGATAATATTAAGGAATTCATATTACATTTGAGTGTGATGATAGCTGTGCTTTGAAAAATGAACACTTAGAGATATACCCTAAAATAACCAATGAGAAAATAACATGCTAGCTGGGATTTTTAAAAATGTGTGATGAGGAAGTGTAGGTTGGGTATAAATGATACAATCCAACATGAATTATTAATTACTGCAACTGGACAGTGAGTTCCAGGGCCTTCACTGTTCTGTCCTGTACACTTTTTGTAGACACTTGAAATTATCTTTAATAAAAGTGAACAGTTGAAATTGGCTAGATTCCACCCTGGCTTCTGCGCTGCAGCGGGACTTTGGAAGCATCTCTGACTGTCTGTGCCTCAGCTTCCTGGTGTGCACAGTGGTCATAACAGGACCTAACTCGTGGAGGTATGAATAAAACAAAAGAAAATGATTTACATCTCTACATATTTTAAATTATTATAAACAAATTATATGTAAACACACAGGTGTGTTTGCATATAAATTAAATAAAAATTTAACACAAGTATTGAGCATTACATCTTGACACAGCAGGGAGTCAATCCATGATAACCATTATTAATAGAATAGAATAGAAAAAGACAGAATTGGTTCCAGAACCTACATCAGATTTTCAGTCATGTCCTCTTTTTATAACACAAGCTGCCCCTTTACTAGTTTTTCAACGAAGAGGACCAAAGCTCACTGAAAAGCCAGGGACATCTGGACATTGCTTGAAGGTCACCCCATGGGTCCAGATGTTCTGAGTAACCAGTGCTTTCCCTCGAGGTTCCTGAATTCTCTAATAAAACAAATAAATAGGAGACAGATCAATGGCACACACATGCCCCTGGAGTGAGGAGAGCCTGGCTAATACTATTGAGCACCTAAAGCTGACTTTCTAAAAGAAAATACTCATTTGGATTAAAACAAGGATGTGACAAGAAGTTAAAAGATGATGTTTCATGGACCAAGTTACGTAAGCAAGGTCACCTGTCCCTCCTAAGGCCGAACGTGTAAGCCTGCTGTCACCCAAGTGTGGTCCAGGAGCCCCGAGGAGCCCCCGTCAGGGAGGTTTACTGCGCTCAGTGAGTGTCCTCTCTTGTGCTGCAGATCAGCACTCAGCCAGTGATTCAGAATGACCCCCCTGCCATTATCTCTCTCTCTGTACACACCCCTCCTCCCTGGTCCCCTGGTCCACACATTCGAGGTGCTTCAGGATCCCCCAACTGTACTCTGTGTCAATCCCACAGGGAGACGGCTGGGCTCTTTTTGGTAAATCCCTCCTGCACTGGTGCCTAGGAACTGCTTCCATGGAGAGAGCGGGGCAATGTCACGACTCACCTCATCTGTTTTCCTTATCTCTGTGTTTTTGTCTGAAGTCCAATGTCCAAAAATGATTTCATTTATTTTGTCCAGTTTTCTTGTTGGAAGCTCAGCTCTGTTTTATTGAAGTGTAAGTCAGTGTAATTTATTTTTATTGTATCTTACAAATGCATCAGTCCTTGATGATGGGGGACAAAACCCTGATCATTTAACCAGAGATTATTGAGAACTGCAGTAGATCCCATTACCTCCACGACATGTTGATTGAGACCTGGGGAATGAATAGAGCTAATTCAGGTAAAGGCTGAGAACAGAGTAGCGAGGACTTTCTAGGCAGAGGGAGCCTTCCCTGACCATGGGGACCCGTGGAGAAATATGCAAGGAAGAGACCCGACTATTCCACTTGAAGTTGTGCCTGAGATTATTTGAGAAGCTATAGATACGTGCACCGTGAAGAAAATGTTGGAAGTAATAATTGACTGTGCCCCAAGCATGCTTGTGTTTACGGCTCTCTTCTCAGGGTCCTGTCTCATTCCCCTTTATCATCTCTCCAGCTGTTATCAGGAGGAGGTCAGACCTGGCTGTGGTGCAGTTTGTCGGAGGGCCACCAGAGGGCGGGCTTCCTCCAGCCGTGGTTCGTGTTTGCCTTCAGGCGCTGGTTTGACTTGCCTGCCTCTGTGGCCACAAGAGACATGACTTGCTGTGCAGAAAGGGGCTCTCGGTTTCTGAGTGTGGAGTTTCTATAACATCCAGTTGGAGACTAGAGCTGTTAGATTTGCTGTATTCCGGGGAGCAAGGACAATTTTCCTCTGCCAACATGCATTCTGCCACTCACCCAATTCTTCTGATCTTCTTATTATACAGTAAGTAACATTTTACTGTAAATGTTAATGATTTTTCATATTCTTATAATCATAGTTAACTTTTAGTTTACTTCTCTGGCAGAAAACCCTCCTCCTGTGCATTTCTAACATAACAAGGTGATTCTCTTTTAGGAGGAACCAGTGGAGACTCAGTGACCCAGACTGAAGTCCCAGTCACTCTCCCAGAGGAGGCACTTTTGATCCTGAACTGCACTTACCAGACCACTTATTCAGATGTCTACCTGTTCTGGTACGTGCAGTATGTCAACAGAGCTCCTCAACTCCTCCTGAAGGGGTCCGCTGCAAACCCGAGGCCCGAGCATCAAGGTTTTCAGGCCACTCTTGACAAGAGTGACAGGACTTTCCACCTGCAGAAACCGTCCGTGCAGACGTCAGACTCGGCCGTGTACTACTGTGCTTTGGGAGACACAGTGAGAGGGGCTGCAGGGGGAGCTGAGCACAAACCCAGGGGCGCAGGTGGGGTCTGGCTGTGGGCGGCCCTGGGAGGGGCTGCTATTTTCTCTCTCCAGTGATCTGTGTGCTGGAGGCAGCCTCAGTGTCCTGCCAGCTGTGATGCTCAGAGCCAAGAATCTTGGAACGCTTGGATTGCTCTACAGAGAGGAACTTGGGGAGGAAAACTGCAAAAAGAAACCTACATGATCTTTTCTAGAAATGCCTGTTTTCAGCCCACTGT